TGATTTCGATTGAGAACCCTGAAACTTGATCTCAGGATTGTAAACATAGACCCAAGTTTTATTTTCTGGGATGACATTTCTTAAAAAGCTGGAATGTGAGGCAGCACCATCACACAACTCCAGTGCAGTGTGTTGCTCGTGACCCATTACTTATGGCACACTTTAAAACACACATTGTCTCAACTGTAGCTCACAGCTGACTGCACAGAACAGCTTGAAACGTCACACATCACTGCTCTACTACTAAGGATACAGGTATCACTTCTGGAAGAGCCCTGCCTTTCCATTGTGTGGGCCTCAGCAGTAGTATTTACTGTGGTTTTTTTATTACATTGTGTATTCTCTTTATACATGAGCTCCATCCAAGTGGTCTCTAATACCATTGTATATGTAGCCTACTGTTGACCAAAATGTTGCTATGCAACATGATTTATAGATCATTATTATCCCCTTTCAGTAAGGAATCTGAAGCATAGTAAATGGTGATTCAGGCCAATATACTAGTAGTACAATAAGTGGTGAAGGAGAATGAATTGACTGAAAGAAAATAGACATCTGTGCTTACTGTTGGTGCACTTCATTTTATAAATAATTTGGAGGCTAGGGCAAATGTTTGAACTTGAACTTTGTAATTGCAAGTTTCCTCCTTATTTTAAGGTTTGTGATTGTATGCCAGGTATTTAAGGCCAATAAAAATATGAATACTCCTGAAATGAGGTATAGCCACTTGCCTTCCTGCACAGGTATATAAACCAGTTCCTAGCCCAGAGGGTTATAAGTACGAGCTTTGTATTTAACAGCGAGTGTGAAGTTGGTGGTGCTGATGGAGGAAACAAATATTTCCACAATATTAACTAGAAATTCTGGTAACACATTCAGGGCTTTGAGCATCTGAATTGTTTGTTGGAATCAGACAAGGTGTCTCTTTATTTAAACAAAAGCTGTTTGTACATGGAAACTCAATCCAAAATACATTTTAAAAATTCTATCTGATTTCTCTTTTATAGAAACAACAAGACATTTTGCTTATTTTTTAAGTTAAAAGAACATTTCATCTGCTTTCCTGCTCATGTCTACATGTCATTTTCCAAAGAAACATTAGTTTGGTGTCCAAAAGTTGTTTTTTTTTTTTTGTTTTTTAAAGTAAAAGCAATATAAATCTTAACTAAAATCTCTTTTAAACACAGCATTTTTCTTTTTTGCCTTCCCAGTACTAATTGGCTTCTTCTGGTAATAGAACCTTGATTTTCTTTTGTAGAATGACCCGTTCCCATTTTTTGTCTCCAGGCTAAAGTATATGGTTGGGTGTAATGATTGCGAAGTTACTAATGAGATGTAATGCTAAGATTTTATTGGAACTACTGAGAAATAAGTGCTTCGGTTCTCCCGGAATGATTACCCACAAGGATATGTGGTATTATGAAAGGTGGAGATGTGGGAGGAAATCACGACCCAAGAACAGACTCTTTGAAGATAACAGAGAGGAAAGGGAAGATTTTGTTTGCATCCCTGGCTCCAAGCTTCTCTGAAGTTACCCATATGTGGATTTTTCATTTTTTAAACCAAACATATTCCTTTGCTTAAATTGGGTTTAGTTTGAGTTTTTGACATTTGTAAAGAAAAATTCTTCATACTACAGCATAAAAGAATTCATTTATTATACATAAAAATGTCTAAAAATCTTTCCTACCTTTCAGTATCTTAGTGTCACTCAGAATGGCAGTTGTGCTGAATCCCTAGTGTTACTCTCTCAAAAGTCTCAGAATCCTCTTTTAAAGTCAGAGCATTTTAGGTCTTTTTTCTAATTCCCATCCTTGACACTTTCTCTCTCCTTTCTTTCCTCTAAGGGAAGCATAAAATCGAGCTGAGCCTTGCAGATCAGCCCAGCCTTCTGCAGTTCCTTTTGCGTCTCTATTCCTTCAGTAGAGCAGCACCATGAATGCCTGCCCTTCGTCTTAGAATGGGTGAAAGTCTGGAAATAACGCATGTTAAATGTAATATTCAGGTCTCCTTTCTGCTCAGAACAAATAGTGTGTCTGCATGGACATTATTCTATTTGCAAACAGCTATACTTGGGGGTCTCTTTAGATAAGTTTTGTCAGGGTATTGTTTTGGGTTATTGGTTGGCTTTTTTGTTTTTGTTTTTATTTTTTGGATGGAGTGACAGGACTCAATCTAGTCAAATTAGTGTGCTTGTTGTTATAAGCCTAAGAAATAAATGGTCATGTCCTGGTTTCAGACCAAGCTGACACAGAGTGCTAGAAAGCACTCTTAATGACTATTACTCATTCTAATGCCCTTTTGTTTTTCTGTTGGGGAACACACTTTAGGTTCTCTACAGAAACAGTCAGCGACTCTCAGCAGAGAACTGCACCACTCAGTAGCTTCTGCATAAGCACATTTATCAGATTTAGTGCCCAGGACTCTCTGAAATGTCCTAAGAATACTGACTCATTCAAAAGCAGCCAGTGCGGTTGGGAAAACACCAGTACTTGCCCCATGGAGATCTAGATGTCTCTCCACGTTACTGGGAGCCCTGCCAGAACCCTGAATCTGGGCCCTAACTATCTGGATTCATTTATCTGCCCATACCAAGAGCATGAGAAATGCTCAAAAACTAGAAAAATTAGTTTATTTATAATTAGGCTAAATCGGGAGATCAACTAGTCTGCTCCTCTCAAACACACAGAAGCACTTCAATGTATAGGAGGGGTAGAAAAAGGGCCAGGAAATATGTATATGCAGATTCTGCCAGGCTTTGGCCCACCAGTGAGAAAAACACTGAAAGTCTTGTTCTTTTGAAACATCCTTGGCACCAGGGCTGGAGGTGGCAGTTGTTGCTCTCAGCATGAGGAAGCTGGATGAATAGTTTAGGTTTAAAATTCCTAATTTTTAAAGCTCCATTACAACTTCTTGATTTCACCCACATTAAGAGGTAATCATGAAGCCGGGTGTGGTGGCACACACCTGAAATCCCAGCTCGGGAGGCTGACGCAGGAGGATCAAAGTGAGCTCAAGGCAAGCCTGGGCTACATAGTGAATCTAGGCCAGCCTGAACTATGTAGTGAGATCCTAGATTAAAAAAAAAAAAAAAAAAAAAAAAAAAAAAAGAGGCAATTGTAATTTTCTTATACTAGATATTGGGATGACCCTGATCTCTTTTGTGAACACACAGGTTATAACTGTTCTAAATTCTAATCTTGGGTCTATTCCAATTGTCTTTGGCACTTGTGAGCTATGGGATCAGTGGAAAGATCACCTAGCATGATAGCTGCCCCAGCTAGCTAGCTAGCATGGGTCCTTGCTTCAGTGATAATGGAAATTAAAACTGAGGCAATCAGCACACACCTACAGGAAAAGGGCTTTAATTTAAAAGTAAGAGAAAATAAAGGGGAGGGAGCCACTGCTCTGAGCAAAAGCAAGGCAGCCCCCTAACAAAGTAAAACAAGAGAAAAGAGGGAAGGGGCTTCAGTCAGAAGACATGAAGGGAGCCAGGTGTAGTGGTGCACACCTGTAATCCCAGCACTCAGGAGCCTGAGGCAGGAGGATTACTGTGAGTTCAAGGCCAGCCTGGGCTACAAAGTGAGTTCAAGGCCAGCCTGAACTGCATAGTGAGACCCTGTCTCAAAAAGACAAGAAAAAGAAGGAGGAGGAGGAGCAGGACAAGGAGGAGTAGCACGAGGAGGAGGAGGAGGTGCAGGAAGAAAAGGGGATGCAGGTCTAGCATAGCCTACCAACAAAAGAGTGAGACCAGCTTTATGGGGTGCTGTGGTCAGCTGGGTTCTGCTCGATTATTATCTCAATTTCGGTTTCCTGACTCTGGAGGAATCCTTATGACTTGAGGGGCAATTCAGTCCCCTCAAGATAATTGTTCTTCCTTGGAAAAAGTGACTTCATCATAGGGTGGTCTGAAGGCTTCTCTTTTCCTGGAATCCTACATGATTGCAGGTTTAGGACAATGTGTGTTCAGACTTCTAGGCATTGCTCCAGGGGTGTTAGAACTGAATGTTCCAAAAGCTAGTAATTGTATGAGCCTGCAAATCCTGAAAATTGCTTTAATTACCATCTTGATATCCTTCTTAAGTCTTGGGGAAGGGAGCAGATGAGCTAGCCTAGGTAAATTTAAGGCCAATAAACCTTGTATTACCAATATTTTATAAGTGATTAAAATGCTTGTGTACAGAGTTGAGCAGGGATCTGACTTAAAATGTTAACAAAATAAAGGAGACAAGAGATGAAGGCCGAGGTGCCAAGCTTTATCCTGTTTTTGGTTACCCACTGAGCATCTGCAGGTCCAGCCTGTAGGTTCCTGTTATACTAGGAGAAACGTCACTTATTAAAAGCCCTGTGTTTTATGTATCCATCTTTTTTCCTCATGATCTTGCCAACCATACTGAACTAAAATCTATTCTTGGTGTCCTGGAAAAGGTGAAATAATTGAGGAAAGTTTAATAAAAGGGACTATTTTTAAAAGGTGGACAGTGTTGAAGGAAACCGTTACTAGCCCCAGGCCTGAGGAGCAAGGGCAGCTAATGATATGGCGGCACAGAACCGAGGAGTGGATAGGGGAACTTGAGTGCTGGCTTTCGGATGAAGAACAGAGCCACCGTTAACACAGCAGGCTGTTGGGAGTGAAGGCGAAGTCCTGATTAAATCCTGCCCCCAACCTACAAGTGCCTCCCACTTGGCAAAACCAACTGAAAATCAAAGGACAACTGGTGTACAGATGAGTCCCAAGTCACAGAAGAGGACAGAGAGTGGGTCTGAAGAGGCAGCGGCAACTCCAGCAGGAAATGCCAGTCTTTTCCCACAGCTAGCGCACTGACCCGTTTTTGCTTGGCCTGAAGTCGTGGATTTTCAGTCTGTCCGGTTGACCCATCTAATCCATGACTTTGATGATCAGATCTGATTCCAAGAGACTGTATTCGTTTGGCCTGGTACTGGACTGTAGAGACCCGGGTCAAGGTATTAACTCTAGTGTCAAGATCCTTCTCTTAAAGACCTGGTTTACAAAATGCCCAGCGGACTCGCGGATGTCCGGAGATCTTTACAGATGATGACTTGCTGAAGCTGGACACATTTTTAAAAATCAAAGAATCGGCTTCAAAACGCACACGGTTGGGTGGCCATGAGCTACCTCCTCGAGCCTTTGCAGAGTGGTGGACGACGGCTTCACACTCGCCATCTCCAAAGGGCGTTAGCTAAAGAGGCCGGGCAGGTGGTTCACAGAGCCCTCAAGTGCTTTTCCACCGCCGGCGGCATAGACTGAGATCCTCAGCTCGGGCACCGAGGCTGGGCGCCCCCCCCCCGCCCCCGCGGTCTCCGACTCCCCCCC